CCAGAGTGCGGCCCGGGCTCCGCTCGCTCACGGCCCCCCCGCCGGCGGCGGCGGCGGCGGCGCCCAGCGCCCGGGCCCCGATGAGTAACTCCCGCAACAACCGGGTGATGGTGGAGGGGGTCGGCGCCCGCGTCGTGCGCGGCCCGGACTGGAAGTGGGGCAAGCAGGACGGCGGCGAGGGCCATGTGGGCACCGTGCGGAGCTTCGAGAGCCCGGAGGAGGTGGTGGTGGTGTGGGACAACGGCACGGCCGCCAACTACCGCTGCTCGGGGGCCTACGACCTGCGCATCCTGGACAGCGCGCCCACCGGTGAGCGGGGCCGGGGGGGGGGGGGGCTGCGTCTACGCGCGTGGGAGGAGGGGGCGAGGCCGGCCGGGGACCCCTGCCCGGTGCAGTGCGGCGCGGGGTCACGGGGAGTTTGAGGTTCCCCACCCGGTAAACAAAAACCGTGCACAGCAGCCTGCCTCCCACCCCCGTGCAAGGTCCATTACCAGGATGCTTTCAAGTTTCCTGGATGAAAAGCATTGCCGACAACAGATTTCCTCCCCCTCTGGGGCCGGGCCTGGAGAGACTGTCTAATAAGCATTGACATGAATCAGCCACCAAATAATAACCGTCGGATGGGAGGCTTGCCTTGCCATATGGTGTGTAGTTGCTAGGGGTCCATTTCTTGGTTCCTTCACTTTGTTGAGCTAGGTTTTATTTATTTATTTATTTATTTTCTCCTTCCCGCCTGTGAAACAGAATAGCTTTATGAGTTTAGTTGGTCAGTATCATCTGGGACTTGAAAATTCATTTTCATCCAAATTGTTTACATATATGTAATATAATAAATAATATATGACATATTATATATTACATATCTTTGTAGCAATAGAGGGGGAAATACTGTCAGCTATTGAGTTTGCCTGTGTGTGCGTGTGTGTGTGTGTGTGTGTGTGACTTTCTCCAAGTTAATTTTCTTTGGTTAGCACCCTCTCTCAGGGACATGATGGTAAAATTCTACCATTCATCCTGAGAGTTAGTGATCTTGTTTTGCTACATTATAGGTGTCTGAATTATTGACACGAAAGTTTTTACGTGTCAGAGTTGCTTTCACAGAATAAGGATTTATTTTAATCTACTTTCACTTAGATCTAATTGTATTCATTTAGAAAGTTCAAATTTAAATTATATTACGTTTCAGAATTTCTAAATAAGCAGTGAGTTTGGCAGAGCCTAGTGTTGAAATGGATGAATAGCTACTGCTACCAGCAGAAAGAAGTTAAAAGTGAGCCAACTCAGTTTTGAACAAGTAATGTATAAAATTTTGTTTGAGTTGATGAGGCTGACCCTGCTACTGGTCCTCCTGCGTCAGCCTCCCTGAACACTGGGGAACAGGCACGCATTACCGTACCCTGCTGAAAACCGTGTTTGTTTAGCCCTGAAAAGGATGGGTTTGCCCAACTCAAAAAGGCAGCTGTTGGTACTTACATATTTTTACAGGTGCAAATGTTTACAGATGTGAATATACTGAAAATACAGATCTCTTTCTCCCTTTAAATACAAGTAGCGATAAACTGGATTTAGTTTTCTGCACTCTGTATGTGTGTGCACGGGTGTGCCTGTGTGCACACAGGCCTGAGTATGTATCTGGTGTTCAAGTGTGCAGAGGCCAGATGTCGACGTCGGGTGTGTTCTCAGTTCTTGGCTTTTGAGACAGGCTTGCTCACTGATTGGCTAGAGCCCCAGGGGTCTTATTTCCGTATCTCCAGCACTGGGGTGCAGGCACGTACGTGAGTCTTGCCTGGCAGTTTTTAGCACAGGTACTGAGCACCCCATCTGGACCTGAGCCATCTCCCCAGTCCTCTTTAGGTCTTTTTTAGGTTTACTTTATTCTTTCATGGGTGAATAGTATTCCAGTGACTGGATGCAGAAATATATTTTATAGGTATTTATATTTTAGGTCTCTGTTCTTGTGTTTTGAGACATAGTTTCTCTGTATGTTCTTGGCTGTCCTGGACTTGATTTTAGACCAGACTGGCCTGGAACTCACAGAGATCCGCCTGCCTCTGCCTCAGCCTCCCTGAATGCTGGGATTACAGGCATATGCCACCAAGCCTGGCTATTTTAGGTCCTCTTGCAACGATGGTGTGGATGAGTCCTACCCTGCCCTAAGCTATTTCTGCGCAAGCGGAATTGCTGCACCAAAGTATGCACATATTTAATATTCTCATAGATATTGACTGATTGTCCCCAAAGATATTTGACCAGTTTACATTCCCAGCAATTGTATCTGATTATGCACACGTTAAAGTTTTGTTTTTATGCTGGCTCGGTCTGAAGCCTGACACAGCATAATAATTTGGAGGGATTCTTAGGATCGGTGATTGTAGGTTTATGGAGAAATTTAAGGTCTGTCTAGGAGAGAGCTATTTTTATCTCCTGGCACATTTACCATTTTCTTTGTGTTGAGAAACTTTAAAGTCCTTTTTTTCTACAGCACGTTGTTATTGATGCTCGCCCTCCCATGCAGCAGAGCACCAGAACTTATTTCTCCTGTTTTCTGGCATGATTTTTCAAGCGCAGTTAATACTGGCTCATGTTTTATAGTATGGAGTTTATCTGTTGTGTGAAAGCATGTACTTTTGAGAAGTAACTTCAGCGCCTTTGTTTCCTTCAGGATAATCTAACATATTCTCTTATGGGAAGCAGTTAATTTTGTGTGTCTGATTCCTTTTGAAAACACTGTTGGTGCTGAGAATGGAGACCAAGGTCTGCGCTGTATGACCATGACATTCTCGCCTGTCACATTTGGAAACACTTCTGCATGCAGGCTACTAGTCTTCATGTGGAATGCATGTTGGAATGCATTGTTGTTGTGCTTTAATTTTCATTCATTAAATTTTTTTTAAAGTATTGAAAAAGCAGGTTTTACCACTAAACTTTATAATGGTACTTTTGTTTTTGCTTCAAGATACTGAATGATGTCCTTTGATATTTTATTCTGTAAGACTTATTCTGTTATATTTAGTACTTAATATTTATTTATGTAATAGTGAGTTACAGAATTTAGCTTTCACTTTGAAGTTATTTTAAACTTAAAAAAATATTGTAAACTAATAAATTCAGTTTGACCCTCAAACTGAGTTGTCTCATGTTTCCTTGTGGTGAAGTATTCTGGCAGTAGTATGATAGAAATGGTATTTTACCCTTTGCAGTGGACCAAAATGAGTCATAATAATAGTGATAGTAATGAATGAGAGAACTGTGCTTTGAGCAGTGATGCATTAGTAGTGTAGGAGAGATGATAAGTGAGCAAGCTGTAAAAGAAGTCTGCACAATGTTGTCCTTGAGGATGTACCTCAGTGGATGAGAATTTGTTGGCAGGTAGAAGGCTCTGGGTTTGATCACCAGGAAGGGGAAAAAACCCTCTGATGTTAAAATGCAAAATACTACTATGGATTATTTAGAGTAGTTTTAAAATTTGTGTGTTTGTGTGTGTGTGTGTGTGTGTGTGCGTGTGCGTGTGTGTGTGCGCGCACTACAGTAGGCATGGTAGTTTTCTCCTTCCACTATGTGGGTTCTGGGAATTGAACCTGGAGATTAGATTGTCAGGCTTTGAGAGTGGCATCTTTACCTGTTATCTTTCCAGCTCTGTTACAGTGTTTGAATTTATGTCCTCGGCTAGTCAAACTTTTTTTAAAGATTTATTTATATGTATATCAGTGTTCTGTCTAGCACCAGCATGCTAGAAGAGGACAACAGATCTCTTTATAGATGGTTGTGAGTCACCATGTGGTTGCAGGGAATTGAACTCAGGATCTCTGGAAGAGCAGACAGTGCTCTTAACCACTGAGCCATCATTCCAGCCCCTGGCTAGTCAGACTTTAAGAAATTTGTATAATATAACTTCCTTCGGTCCTAGAGATATATCTGGCTGGTTTGTATTCACCAAATATCTTGCTGAAATACAAGGGTTGCTAGTTTGAGGTTGTGAAGTTTATGCTCAGGTAGTTATAGTTGACTTTCTATCATTTAAATACTGGTTTTGGAGAATTTTGGGAGAAGTATATTTTTATTTAAAGATTTGTCCTGTCATCATTTGAGTGCAATATTGTATTATTTATTTAGGTTGATTTAATAATCATTTTTTAGGTTTACTTTATTCTATAAAGTATTGTATAAAGGTGGTGGCCAGGAAAGTCAGGTATATTCAGACTTCTCCAGTCACTGTTGGTCCAGAATGTTGGGCTGTGTACGTGGATCTTAGGGTCTTGTTCTTGTACTCCTTGTGAAGAATGTTTCTCAGGTTACACGTGGAAAACCCCTACAGTTGTTTGTAATCAAGAATAGGTTTTAAAGGTGCTAACCCAGGAGTAAAAGAAGAAATCGTTAGAATTTTCTTTTCTGAGGTTCTCTTCTGGTCCATTTCTAGAACTACAGTGGACAAGCATATTGTCAGGCCGCCAGAGCCTTAGGAGGAAACAGGCCAGGGGAATAACAGAGAACAAGATGCCAGATGGGGAGGATGAGATGCTGTTGCTGTTTCATAATAGTTAATAACATCTGCAAAGGAAGTTAATTTCTTACAGATTCTGACGATATTTCTGTCTGCTAAAACAATGTTTTTAAGTGGAAGTCCATCCAGATGTTTTGGGGGCTGTTGGGAGGCTAGGGATGGAGCTCAGAGTTCTGAGTAATCTAAACATGTTGTCATACTGTTCTGCCATTGTATTATATTATGGGTTAACTGGATTAGGACCTCAGAAAGTCAGTTTAGTAGAAGGTATATTAATATTTCTAAACTTTAGCAAGCATATAAATCATGCTGGGCTCTTTTAGAATGCAGATCCCTGTTCAGCAGCGTTGATTCCTTTCTCCCTCCCCTTTTCTTTCTCTCCTGACCCCTTGCTCTCTGTATGTCCCCACGGAAAATATAAAAAAATGTTTCAAATTCTTGTGCAGAATCTTGACAACATCAGAAAGGTGTAGAAAAGGGTGAAAGGCATCCTTATGAACATCGGACTTGACAGTTGCAGGGAGCTGCTGAGGGATCTACAGGCTTTGATCCAGGAGAGAGCTCTTTTAGCACACATCATGGAGAGAGATTTCTCTTTGGGAACCTTCTGGAAAGAAAGTGAGATACTGAACAAAGCCATATTGCTATAGTCTCTGTAGGTAGTCAGCAAAGGTGCTTACTTCCCTAAAAACTCACCTGCATTGTTATCAGGAAGATGAGTCAGTCCAAGAGCTGATGATGCCCTGGCCCAACTGCCCATTTGCCTGAGCCTAGGGTAGGGGGCCAGCATTTCCGGATGTTCAGGTAC